GCTGTCAGCCTGTGTCAAAGGTCAGCCTGAGGGGTCAGGGGTCATCTCTGATTGGTTTTTATGGCTGGTAGGCTGCTGATTTGGAGAGAGGTTATTGAGATGAGGTGATTTCATCTTGCACAGTTGTGCCAAGTGAGGAAGAAGACACATCACCATAGTTCTTGTCGCACTTGGACTGAGCAAAGGATAAATCTTAATAGCACTCTGACTCAAGCAGTTTCTTCAAAAACTAAATTTCTCCTTTTGCGGTGCTGTATATTAACAGCAATGAAAGTCTACTTTGCTCTGTTTTACTTTCTCTCATTTAAAAAGTTCAGCAAAGCATTATCTGCAGACCAGCATTTGGTTTTAATGTGTGTCTGAATTTAAACCTCAAGCAGCAAGGGTAGATAAATCTCTGACTTAATGGCTGTTTTTGTCAGTGAGGAAACAGAAAACACACACACAGATAGATACACAGTATAGATGCACACAAAGAACAAGATTGTGTTGTGAATTTATTTGACAATAAAGAGAGAGTCGAGTAGTATTACTGGTGCCATCCGCTCCACTTTACTAGGCTATACAGGATACATTAACACAGAAATGGAAATGTTCATAAACTGGCAGTGAGAGGCCTTCTCTGGAGACAAAGATGCACTGTAGTAGTCAATGCATGTTGGAGTGTCCATGAGTCTCAGGGGGCTTCATATCACATAATTTATGTCATCGTCTGATTTGTGTAGCTTCTGCGTGCATTTGTGTGATGCCATTTTTTGCGTGCAAGGTACAGTAACACAATGACCTTGATGAGTTATAGTGGGACAGCTGTTTAAAGATGCTGGCTGGCAGTGGCTGATGGAAAAATAAGGGAAGATGAGGAAGACCAAGGGGGAAGAAAATAAGAAGCTTCAGTACAGAAGAAATGCAGATGGGTTGATAAACAGAGAAAGAGGGTTGTGGGGAATGATAGACAACAGACAAAGAGGGGTTGAGGTAGACCAAACATCTGCCTGACTTCTGTATAGTCTGTCTGCTTCTCACGTCTCAAATCTTTACAATCTTGTATCTTAAAATTCAGAAAATCTGAGTGAACTAATGCTTAAATTGCCAAAATCTTGCAAACTGAAATAATTTGTTGAAGGAGACGCTCAAAATAAAAACACACCAAACCAGTAGAAGAGTCATCTCTGCACATTCCTGGATAATGTTTATTGATAGTATTTTGGAGGCTAAAGCTGTGGAATAGTTTTGGCTTCTGAAAACAAATCTGATCATGAACTGGCCCTTTGTAGTTACAAAAATCATTTATCATTACCATTGTCTGTCTCTTTTCTTCTACTCAGTGAGCAGGTTAAAGCCATGCCCAATATCAACTGCATCCCCTTTATGACTAATTCATTGCTGTATCAGTATCCTTCATCCTCTAATATTTTCTAACCAGCATACAGTCGGACTGCACTCAGCTAGCTCTGTGCTTCTTTTCTGTCATTCTCCTCCTCTTTCTTCACATTCCTCAGCTCTTTTCATTTTCCCTTGCCTTGGCTTTCCTACTCTTCCTGTCCCCTCTTCAGCTCCTCCTCTCCCAACTTTCTTCCAACTGGTTTCTCCTCCTTCACATGCAGTTATCATCTTTTCTCCCTTCTCGTCCCCCATTTCTCCCTTTGCCCTACTCCTTCACTTTTAACCTCTGCTCTTTCTAATCCCGCTACCAAGTGCTTTGAACTCAGGTAGCTGTGCAGCATTCCTCAACATGACCCCCAGGAGCAAGGTCGGCTAAAAAAAAAAAGAAAGAAAAAGTTTTAAAACTATTTCAGCTGTTTCTATAGCGACAATGAGCCCAGGGGTTTCACTGTGGGGTCAAAGTGACCAGGAGGTGATTCAGTAAGTCCTGTTAGACTCCAAAGCTCTTCCAGTGATTTCTGCTTTATTGAAGTTGATGTTGAAAGGATCAAATGTAGGTTGTCCCATTTCACCGCTGCTCCTCTCTCTCCACCCACACTCACAGACTGTGTTGTGGGCCACGTGTAAACTGAACTTGTCCCACTTAGTTGCTAGAAGTTAAAGCACATGTGCTTGTCTCACCAGTTTTCTACCTTCCTGCATATTCAATTCAATTCAATTTTATTTATATAGTGCCAAATCACAACAGTTATCTCACAGCGCTTTTCGTAAAAGAGCAGCCGTACTCTATGATGCTATTTACAGAAGCCCAACAACAACATATGAACAAACATGATCAGTGTGTGTGTCACATTCAAAAAGTTAGGGAGGTAAAAGAGAAAGATTTAAAAAAAGAAAGAGCAAAATCAAAGCAGCAGGCCAAGATATCTTGACTTTTAGTCCCTATTATGGGTCAAGCTACATTTGCCATGATGGAACACAATAGCATCGTTCATCAAACCGTTTTCACACACTGCGCAAATTGCGTTGCGCTTATCATGTGAGTTTGACTGCTGGACTACTCGCACACACAATAAACACAATCCACCATTACTACAGCTGTATGAACCCAAAATAAACATTTAGCTGAGATTTAGTTGCGATAATTAAATAATTTGTTTAAAATATTAAGTCATGCTTTGTCAGGTCTGTCAGCAAGATGACGAGCAACTTTTAAAATGCATGTTTTCTGAATGGAGTTCAAATCGATCAGGGCCATGCAATGCTAACTTCTTTGATAGTGAAGTATAATGATTTATAACGAGTTATAGTTTTTCAGCTTTTTAGAACTTACCTGGTAGTTCAACTTCCTCACTAACTTTTCTACAAGCAGTATTTATAAATATGAAGTAGTCACAGAGCTCTCGCAGCTACAACAATTGAAATCTCTGCTGAGAAGTGCGAGTGAAGATAAATCAACGTTTCATTCCCAAAAATAACAAGTAAAAAGTAAATTCATTAAAAGAAATGAACTCTGAGCTCCTCCTGCCGTTAACCTGCTCCGTTTTCAGAGCAGAATCCAGTCTGACTATGGATGTTTATTTGTCCAAAGGTCCGGCAGCGCCCTCGGCTCTCTCCTCCAGAGCTCCCCGCACCTCAGCAGCTGTTTGTCAGCGAGCAGTAGCTCTGTCCCTCCGCTCTTCCATCTTCTTCACACAACACTATGAAAAGCCATCTGTGATATCTGGACAGTCTGAACGCTGATAGGCTATTGCATCATGCGAATTTCATGCTCAAGTTGAAAAATTTCAAATGACTTTGCATGAACTAGTGCTTCCAGCGCGCCCCCGACAGGATTTGCGTGGCATTGCGTGAACACCAAACCCTCCCCAAGCTCCTAAATGGCCACTTCTTTTGACCTCCATAAGTTTGTAACTCAGGCTTTCTGATAAAAAGCGTAAGTCTTGAGAACAAGACAAGATAACCCACACGGCATCACAATGACCTCATCAGGGTTCAGTTTTCAAACTTTGGAAAGCTCCCTCCAGAAACAAAGAAGACATTATACAGCTGTTTTTATAGGAACTTCATATTTAATAATTGGTTGAGTGCCCCTTTAAGATTACTTTACACATACTAGACAGAACATGCATGGTCACATCGTAGTTAGTCTTTAAGGTAATTTATTCATCTATCATCTCAATCAATAAAACTATGTTAATATATTAAAGAAAATGGTGTTTAACTCCACACTGCCTGTTTTGTTTATTGCTTGTTCAGACATGTTACTCCTTTTACAAGCAGTACAGACAGTGTGTGTAAATAAGGGTTTAGGGATTTCAAGCAGGCTGATCGGCAATTAAATGATCAAACCTCCTCGTGTATCAAGTTACAGTAGATTGTTGGTTCACTGAATTGGATATCCTCTGATAATTTTGTATCTGCAGTCGTCCTTTCCCTGATAATAGGTGGCCTCTTCTCTCTTGGCAGTCAACCATGGCATACAATGTGTGTGTGTGTCTCTGTGTGTGTGTGTTTGGTTTTCATGTAGACTTTCTATGAAACGTGGATTATGTCTTTGTTCCTGTCTGGCAGATCAAAGGCTTGTGGTATTTTGTGACCAGCTCTCTTGTTGTGGCAAGTTTTCTTTTCTGCTATCTCTTTCATTTGGTTTGTGTATGTGTGTCTATGTGTGAGTGTTTAGATTGTGTTAGAGTGTGTGTGTGTGTGTTTCAGTGTAGGCCACTGTTTGTAAACCTTGGTTTGGAGTTTGTTATTGCAGATTTATGCAGAGTGACATGTTTATTTGTACTTGTTATATTTGCATTACACCAGGTTGAAGATGTTTATCTGGTGCCTCTTGTTGGTTTGGGGTTATTAAAGCTGGTTTTCTTGATGGCTGCACATTCCAAACATTCTGCAGCAAAGGAAAGAAATGAAGAAAAGCTTTTCTTACTAAAATTCATGGAACCATTTGTTTTGTTGTTTCAGCAGTGTAATTTAACACGTCCAATTGTTTTTTTTTGTTGTTTATTTGCTTGTAGGTTAATGACAGCATGCATATTCTACTTGCAGCTGCAAAGGATACTGCATTCAGTTTGAATACTGAATCAAGAACAGATGCTACATTCTGTAATTTGGTTGTTTGGTCTGCATCTGTAAATTCCCGAATCTTCCCTCTGGTATAATGTCTGGATTTACCTGCACATTTCAGCTCAGTTCTGCAGTTGTGAAGATTGCAATTACAATATCAGTAGCTTCTCACTGGAGGGAGCCATAATCACATTTTCACTTTGCAACCCAGCATTTATCCATAAATGACACCACTGCAATAAAGGACTAAAACATAAAAAAATAGTGTGACATTAAGACATACAGCATCTGAAGTAGGAAAGTGACAGTATGTTCCTATAGTTTAGTTCAAGTAAGTTCAATATGGAAACTTTAGGGACCGTCCAAAAATGAATGGGGTAGGAAGCAGGGCTGAACCTTTGGCCCTTGACAATGGAGAAAAACAAACATCATTATCGTAAATAATAAAACAGTAAAAATCAAATCAATACATAACTAGGAGGAAAAGCGTAAAGGAGATGAAGGATCCATTTAATATCTTAATAAACATTTTGTTTCAGTGTGGGCAGCCAATACGCACATTAGAAATTAAATTAGTAATTTGCATCACATTTAGCTACTATTCCAGCCACTCTCTATTTTTGAAACAAGAGCAAACTAACTGCTATAATACCAGTAAGCTCTTGTTTCATGAACATGGGACTTTGGGACGCCTGCAGAACTGATCATATTAGTAATGTTCAACAGAAGGAAAAAACCTTGCCTCCCCCACCATTCATTTTTGTACAGTTCCTTAGGTTTGTAAAAACACTTGAGGTGTGACTTCTGCCTGTTCCGCAACATTTGCTTCCTTTAATATCTTTTAGACGTCTGACTTCCACTGTCTTATTTCTCCATTAGAAAAAAACACTTATTCAGTCTTTTTTTTTACTTTGATTTTAAGATCCAGATGTCATTGTCTTATCAGCAACAGAGACTATTTTTCCGTCGTTCATGTCATGTCCAGCTCTTTGGCTTCAGCTTTGACGCTTTGTCCAATTTTGTCTGTATGCATATCGTGGTTTAGGGTGGTTGACCTCTGACTCTGACGGTTCATCTGATGGAGGAGGAGCAGGAACAGAGCAGAGACGATGAGAGCCACTCCTGCCATGAGGAAGCCCGTTCCATAATCACTCATCTTGTCTATTAAGAATCCTAAAGGGCAAAGTGTGAGTGAGTTATTTGCAGCTTTGACACACTCATATTTTTTGTAATGTTTTAATCTAATGACAACATGAATTTCTGACTGGAATGCACCCATTCTGGCCAAAACACAACAACACCGCACTTCTGGTACCATTTTGGCTTAATTTAATGACAGATAGTTATGAACGAGGCAAAAGACTGAGGCAGAGATGAGGAAGTGATGACTGCACAAAGATTAATTTTATCCTAAAGCAGTAATGCCAGTGCCTTCCTCTCGTGAAGGAAACATAATTAGAACGCTCTGATGAATCCTTAACATCCACCAACTCTCTGGTCTTCAAAGCACTCAAAGTACTGAACGGTACAGTAAATAAGTTATAAATAGCCTTTGTGTCAGAGGGACCATGTTAAGTTATAAATAGGATAGCACCTCAGCTTTAATTAGCTCTTAACTTTATTTGAGGTCAGTTTCAGCTTTTAGCATTATCTTATATTTAACATTTACATGTGGTGGTATTGTTTTAATCCAACTTAGGAGGATTTCAGTGGGTAATTAAACACAGATGGAGATATAAAAAGTGAGGAATGAGGACTGAGCAGGAGAATTCATTGAATTTATTTTCCTCATACATCAGGTCAGTGACAGTGGTCACATAATTTATAATAAAAAACATATCCAGACAGCGAAAGAATAGCAGCCTGTGACACTTTAATAACTCAAATCACTCTTATTTTTGTTTTTGTCACATTAATAGTCTTCATGGAAATCCATAGATACCATCAAATGAGCGATCCAAACTACAATTATATGAATGTGTTTTTTTCCACTCTGTTGGAGAGGTTTCCCTAGCTGATTTACTGCTGGCTGTGCTCAGAGGCATAACACTTTCTGGCAGGGGTGGCTGTGCCTGGTTGCCAAAGTCAGACTGGGTGTTTTTAAGGCTGTATTTACTGCTATTGTTTAGAGTTCTGTGTGAAAATAGCTCACAACCTTAGTAATCAGGTTCAAATGCTCACTGGTTTGTAGGACAGTGCAGTGGTTGGTGGGGCTGCAGTATATGGAGGACAGGAAAATACTTAATTCTACTGGCTGTGAGCACCATGGGCATTTTACCTGCCATATTAGTTTAATAGCTTTATTTTAAATTTTTCACAATTGAATATTTTAATAAAGATAATTGCAAACAGATTGGCCAACTTTTGAGAAGCTTTTCAGGCATTGCCAAACCCACATGTTTACTTACATGTATTAAAAATAAACATTTTTGGAGAACCATACTAATTATTTACATATTGAAAATGTTTGAATTGTAGTCCTGAAGATATATTTACAGTGTATGTGAGAAAATGACAGTTTGACAAACCCTTATATCTACCCTACCCTTATATCCTTTTCAAACAAACATTGGTGTATATGCAGGTTTTGTGAACGCAGGTAAACCCACTAAAATAGGTGATTGACTCCTTTCACATTGCCAGGAGGCGAGTTTGCTTTTTCTATTCTTTCCTAATGGGCCTCGTTCGACATCACAACCAAGCCAGAAAACAGAGTCAGTAAACGGTAGAAAGAAACATGGAGGCCAGTGTCAATGGTTGCCATGTGTAGCCCATAGAATAAGTTGCAAACACTGTGTTTCTAGTTAATAGCTCCATGCTGGTCGGTGTATTTATAGTGTTTGACGTCAAGACGTCCCAGATGATGGACTCTTAGTCTATGTAATACTACATAAACATGTGGATGTTTATAGACATCCCAGGATAGAAACAGATGAATCAGTTGCGCTATAAAGGTTAGTGTGTAAACCCTGTGTAATGTTTCCATCACAGCCGACTGAAGCTGGAGCCGATAAATACCTGTGACTCCTGCCGGTAATTTGACCTGGGAGTGAATGCCGATTAATGCCGATTGTACCTTTTCACATTGAAGACAAGAGCCAGGTGTTAGCAGGTTTTAGTGAGTTTTTTTGTCTAGTGTAAAAGAAGCTTAATTTTTAAGTGCACAGATAAGGGGATGAGGCGCTATCCTTAATTAATTTTCCTTACTAAAGCTACGCTAATCACAAAAGAGGGAATGTACATCATGAAAAGCAAAGAAGGATTTTTATAGTGAGAGAAGAAGGATGTGATTTAGACGGCCAAGATATCTCATGAGAATTATCACTTGGCCCTGCAGTTTCCTACAGCTCTACTCTTTACTTTACAGTTTTAGTTTACCCCCACTGATCTCATCAGTGTCGTTTTCTGTTGAACTTGGTCACAAAGACAAATCCAAATGAGGGCTAATGTTGCTCTGTATCTTCTGTATCTCCTGGAGTTCACCATATCAACTTAAAATATGTCAGTTGTGTGCGTTGTTTACAGTTTGTGACCAAAGCGTCAATTATTGCTTTGGCTGCATGTTTAAGCCATAAAAAAATCCTATTTGGCTTTCACAATATGTTTTGGTTTTCTTCATTACTTTGTTATGCTATTATAGTATTACAGTAGTTCTCATGTTCTGTAGAACACAGTGTTTGGACAAATGTCAAATCAAAGGTAACAAAATGGAAAGTCAGTGGGGAAGAAACTCCATTTAAAGGGGAAAAAATTATTTTTGGAAAGCAATCAGCCATGAAATTAACACAACCATAAAGTATCATGATATTATAGTTTTTTGCACAGCTGGCTCTCTGGGCTGTTACAATGCAGAACGGTGCATAAGCACATCCATTGTGTGATGTTTAACGTATTAGAAGAATATGCCCAGGAAAATGACAGACGCTGTAACCTTGAGTTAATGATTTAGATTTTATCATAGAAATGTTAAGAAAGCGTAAATTAAATACAATTTTATTCTTTTCTTTTTTACTCTGTGCAGCATATTTATTTGTAGATAGCATGCCAGTTAGCATGGTGGGACAGATCACAGGGAATATCAAAGCATTAACTTAAAGCTGAAATCCATTTTTTATATGCACAATAGGTACACTGTACACTTGCATTTGACTATAAAAGCTTTTTCACTTACCAGCAATGGGCGGTCCAAGCAGGCCTCCGCTACTGCGTATGAGCATGAAGAACCCCAGGGCACTTCCGAGCCTGTTGACGCCCACAATCTCAGCCAACACGGTGATGTGGATGGCGACCGTGGCACCAAACACCAGGCCGTAAGCTGCGCTGAATGCAGCCAGCTCTGAGAACGAGGAGGTCAGTGGGCAGAGGATTAGCACAGTACCCAGCAGAATTACTGTAGCTGTCAGCTGCTTCACCTGATAGGAACAGAGACACAGGAGATGGATTGTGCACAAGCTGTTCCACCTTGCCTCTACAACTAGGGTGACCAGATGAGAATGGGTGAAATTCGGGACAGTGGCTACCGGTACATTCAGTGTCAATGAACATTATAACACGTGAAAATCAAAACACAACGCTAAAATGTATGTATGTAACAGTGGGGTTTTTTTGTTCATTTTATCAGTGTAGTGTCTGTCACATCTGTCTGTGCAACGCGCATGAAGATCTCTCCGCCGTGGCTGCCTGAAGCTACACTTTCCCTGTCCACTAGAAAACAAAAAGGGGAAAAGAGTGTTACTTTGAGGCTATAACAACGCTGTTGACACAATGTACAGCTATGCTGCAAGCCCTGCTGGAGCCTGAGAACAACACAATGTTCAGTATTGAATGTTTAATTAGGTTATAATCAAAACTCATGTTAAGTCTAATTTTTGGGACAAACCGGACAGGAGTCGGGAAAAATGCTTGTAATTCGGGACTATCTATCTACAACCTATACGCACTAAAAGAGGCATCATGAAGGTGTCTTTACAGAAATATACAGAAAATACGCTTTCCTCTTGAGAGTAAAATGAGAAGATCATTAACACTCTCATGTCTTTAGCTAAATATGAAGCTGCAACTTGCAGCAGATTAGTTTAGCTTGGCAGGAGGACTAAAAGCAAGAAGAAACAGAGATCCTGGCTCTCTCCAGAGGTACAAAAAAAAGGAATTCTGTCTACTTAGTATGTGCTGGACTATTTTGTGGAGTCTTTACTCAGAGCCAGGCTAGGTATTTCCCCCTACTTCCAGTCTTTATGCTAAGTTGAGATAATTAGCTGGTGATGTTAGCTTATATTTACAGACATTATAGTGGTAACAGTTTGTCTTAATCTCAAGAAAGTGAATAAGCTTATTTCACAAAATGTCAAACTTTTACTTTAATATGCTCAAATGTACTATGCTACATGGTGCAGATACCGAAGCCATGCCTTTGCTTTCAGATATATGATTTTCAAAATGTTATTGCTCTGGTTAACTGTACAACTGAACTTACTGTCACCACCAGTCTCAAATTTGCCACCCAGCCAAAGAACACCCTTCCAAACAGGTCCAACACTGCAGAGATGGACATGAGTGCAGCTGCCTGGTACTCCTCAATTCCCTTACTACGAGCATATGGAACCAGGAACAGAGCGGGAGCAAAGAAACCCAGTGCTGCAAACACCCCAAACATTGAGTAGACCATGAATCGAGCATTGGTGATAAGGGTGTAATCTACGTAGCGAAGGATTTTGGTCCTTAGTTCAGACCTCTTATTCCTTTTGTTTGAGTCTTGCAATTTCATGGTCAAATCAGGTATCGCTTCAGGGTCCACAGGACATGGCTTCATTGTCCCCTGATCAGCCCCCTTAGATATTCTCAGCTCCTCCGCTTCTAGGCAGCTTGGTTTGCTCTGCTCAAATTCTTTTTTTGGTAGCAATTCCAGGGACAAGCCTTCTTCTTCTGCTTTGATCTCACAAGTCACATCTCTGGTGGCTGTTAGGGGCCTCAGTAACATCCCGCATACACACAGGTTAAGCTGTAGACCCCCCAGGATTAGCAAAGCACCCCTCCAGGAGTAGCTGTCAATCAACAGCTGGAACAGGGGTGTGAGGACAAAGGTAAGGATGCACTCTCCAGCACTGGCCAAAGCGTTTGCCAATGGACGCCTCTGTTCAAAGTACAAGCCCAGCATGGTCACAGTGGGGGTCCATGTCAATGCATAGCCGAAACCTGCAGCAAAGGACACCAGTGAATATCATGTTTTGTAAGTATATTTTTGAGTTTATGTGTGTTTGCTTCAAACAACTCACCATTTAGGAACCCCACTGTTAAGAAGAGTTCAGTCAGGTTACGAGCAAACGTCCCAAACACAACTCCTAAGCTGCACATCAGTCCTCCGATTATCACTACTGAGCGATGGCTGTACCGAGCACTCAGAACAGATGCTACAGGAGCTGCATAGGGACACAAAGGAGATTTATACATATATAGTCCTATTCAGGACATGTACATAATCCTACTTGGGGCAACACTATTGCAGGACACTGTTTGTTTATGCATTTCACAGCAGGTAAAAGGTCCTATTTATTTTTAAGATGTATAAATGACAAAGTTTTCTGGAAGCATAATCTTGTTTGAATATTCTCAGTGAAAATTTAAAGTTAAACAGCAGAACACTGCTACAATTGCAGCAGATAAAAATTATATTTACCAACACACTCATTTTGAAAATCAAAAAGCAATCTTATTGTATTTTACTATTATTTGTGTGTGATAACGGTGTTACAAACAACAAAAGATGACATGATATAAGTATATATATAATTGTGTAGGAAAGAGCCTCCTGGTGGTCAGAACAGAAAGTCTGTTTGTGCTGAGCCATCTACAAGATCAAAAAGAGTGGAGGGACTTTGCAAGATATGAACATGAAACACTGAGGAAATTGAGGGGTGTAAAATGTGTTTGCTATTTACTTGTAATAGAAAAGATTGTGATAATTACCCACAATGTGAATGGTAGCCACCGCAATAGAGGTAATCCAAGATGTTCCTGTTGCTGTGGTTTTGAAGTACTGGTGTATCTCAACATAGAATACACCAAAGGCTTTAATTACCCCAAAAGTCAGGCCAAAGACCAGGAAGCAGGAGAACAGGATGAACCAGGCGTAGCCACCATCAGGAGCTACCCTTGCCTTCTGAGCCTTCACTGGAGAGTCCATGCTGACCTGCGCTGGTGTTTGCAATACTCAAATGACTAGGGAAAAATAGACAGATATTTTTTATCTATTGTATACAGGTGTGGAAGTAACAAATCACCTTTGCTCTTGTTACTGTAACAAAGTAAGTTTTTGTGTGTACTAAATCAGTAATTTTATTTTTATGTAAAGTATTTTTTATTTGAAGTATTATTTAGTGTTGTAAGTTGCTTCCGTTACAGAGTAAAAGCAAGTCACATGAAAAAATCAAGATAAATTTTGTGAGAGTGGAACAAGAGAAATCTTCTAAATCAGCAGCTGCAGCAGAAAAGGCTAGTCTGGAGCTGCAGGAGGGCAAAGCTCCATGTCCAGAGAGGTGACACTCAGCTGAAACTATGTAAAAGACAGTTACACGCTAAATGTGTACATTCACTGGGCAAATGACAAGAGGTGTGGGGAGATAAGTTGTAATACAAGAAAATACAACAATACAATTAAATTAGATGATGTCATGGGTTATGGTTAAGGTTAGAGTTATTGTACCATTTTGCTCCTTTAACCTGTCTCCTGGTGGTGAGGCAGTGACAGGGACGTCTCCCTCCCACTCCCTGCCAATGGCTTTTGGGTTATCTGGTAACTGAGCTTCTATTCTTATACTTCAGCCTCAGCTAAAAGCTGCCCTTCTCAGCAAGTTCTTTGAACACATGCCTGTTGCTCCCATATTGCAGAGCAACCGTGAAGCTGATGCGCTAACAGAGCCCAGGCACCCCACCTCCACAGGGTAGTTGATGATCCTCCAGCCCGACTTCTTGAATTCAGCAGCCAGCTCTGAATACTTTATTCATTCTCTTCTGCTCACTGCAGCCTCAGCTCCCTCCTTCCGACTTGCGAGGAGATGTGGTTGTTATTTCCCTGGGGGACTGCAGCTGTGCACCAATGTCAACTCTCATGCTCCACTCCTTGCCGGGGGAGAGCAGCCTTAGTGGAGCAGGTATGCCTGAGCTCTCCATTTCAGCCCTGTTCAACCAACCAACTCATTGACTGTTGTAACTGTAACCATGCTGTGTGTGTACTGTATGCGCTACTAGAGTACTACAACTGTGTGGGCTCTCTTTTTGCTTTGTGTGTGTTGTGTTTGTAGACTGTAGCTGCTGTCGAGATTGGCTCTACAACCTTGGTGATGTTTTATTTTGCTGTTAAAGTTTCAGGTTGTTTAATGTATGTAGCCTAATATTGCTTGTTGCACCCATGCCTTTATTTATTGTTGGTCATTTTTAAGAGGCGGCTTGATGTTGTTCCACTAGTATACACTCACAGGCCACTTTATAAGGTACACCTGTTCAATTGCTTGTTAACACAAATAGCTAATCAGTCAATCACATGACAGCAGCTCAGTGCATTTAGGCATGTAGACAAGGTGAAGACAACTTGCTGAAGTTCAAACCGAGCATCAGAATGGGTCCGAAATAAGAAGTGACTTTGAACTTGGCATGGTTGTTGGTGTCAGACAGTCTGGTCTCAGTATTTTAGAAACTGCAAGTCATTTTCACCCACAACCATCTCTAGGGTTTACAGAGAATGGTCTGAAAAAGAGAAAATATCCAGTGAGCGGCAGTTGTGTGGACGAAAATGCCTTGTATATGTCAGAGGTCAGAGGAGAATGGGCAAACTGGTTCGAGATGACAGAAAGTCGTTACAACCAAGGTATGCAGAATACCATCTCTGAATGCACAACACGTCGAACCTTGAAGCAGATGGGCTACAGCAACAGAAGACCACACCAGGTGCCACTCCTGTCAGCTAATAACAGGAAACTGAGGTTACAATTCACACAGACTCACCTAAAATTGGACAACAGAAGATTGGAAAAACGTTGCCTGGTCTGATGAGTCTCTATTTCAGCTGCGACATTCAGATGGTAGGGTCAGAATTTGGCGTCAACAACATGAAAGCATGGATCCATCTTGCCTTGTATCAATGGTTCAGCCTGGTTGGGTGGTGGTGTAGTGGTGTGAGGGATATTTCCTTGGCACACTTTGGGCCCCTTAGTACCAATTGACTAACCCAACAGCGTCCCTGAGTATTGTTGCTAACCATGTCAACTCTTTATAACCACAGTGTACGCTTCTTCTGATGGCTATTTCCAGCAGGATAATGCACCATGTCACAAAGCTCAAATCATCTCAAACTGGTTTCTTGAACATGACAATGAGTTCACTGTACTCCAATGGCCTCTGCAGTCACCAGATCACAATCCCACTGCGTACTTGTTGAAAGTATGCCTCAAAGAATTAAGGCAGTTCTGAAGACAAAAGTGGGTCCAACCCAGTACTAGCAAAGTGTACCTAATAAAGTGGCCAGTGAGTGTATAAATTGACATGTTAATGCATATCATGTAACATTATCATCATCATCATATACAGTCATGGCTTGTTTCTGTTGACACTGGTGATGTACACTGATCAGCCATAACATTATAATCCCTGCCTAATATTGTATAGGTCCCCCTTTTGCCACCAAAACAGTCCTGATCTGTCGAAGCATGGACTCAACTAGACTTCTTAAGGTGTGCTGTGGTATCTGGCACCAAGACGTTAGCAGCAGATCCTTTAAATCCTGTAAGTTGAGAAGTGGGGACCTCCATGGATCAGACTTGTTTGTCCAGCACATCAAGACCATACAGCAGTTCAACAGGACTGGTTCCACTCAGAACAGGCCTTGCCATGGTCGACCAAAGAGTGTACGAGCTCAGCACCATATCCAGAGGCTGTCTTTGATAAATAGATGTATGAGTGCTGACAGCATTGCTGCAGAGGTTGAAGGGGTGGGGGGTCAGCTTGTCAGTGCTCAGACACATAAGCCGCACACTGTATCAAATTGGTCTGCATGCACAAGAAAGCCCACAACTAGTTTGCTGAAGCAGACTAAGGACATGGATTACTGGAACCATGTCCTGTGGTCTGATGAGACCAAGATAAACTTATTTGGTTCAGATGGTGTCAAGCGTGTGTGGCAGCAACCAGGTGAGAAGTACAAAGACAAATGTGTCTCGCTTACAGTCAAGCATGGTGATGGGAGTGTCATGGTCTGGGGCTGCATGAGTGCTGCCGGCACTCGGGAGCTACAGCCAACATGTACTGTGACATACTAAAGCAGAGCATGATCCCCTCCCCTCGCAGACTGGGCCGCAGGGCAGTATTCCAACATGATAATGACCCCAAACACACCTCCAAGACGACCACTGCATTGCTAAAGAAGCTGAGGGTAAAGGTGATGGATTGGCCAAGCAAGTCTCCAGACCTAAACCCTATTGAGCATCTGTGGGGCATCCTCAAACGGAAGATGGAGGAGACCAAGGTCTCTAACATCCAACAGCTCCGTGATGTCATCATGGAGGAGTGGAAGAGGATTCTAGTGGCAACCTGTGAAGCTCTGGTGAACTCCATGCCCAAGAGGGTTAAGGCAGTGCTGGAAAATAATGGTGGCCACACAAAATATAGACACTTTGGGTCTAATTTGGACATTTTCACTTACGGGTGTACTCACTTTTGTTGACAGTGGTTTAGACATTAATGGCTGTGTGATATGTTATCACACAGCCATGTTTGAGGGGACAGCAAGTTTACACTGTTATAGAAGCTGTGCACTCATTACTTTACATTGTAGCAAAGTGTCATTTCTTCAGCGTAAGATATTATCAAATATTTACAAAGATTTGAGGTGTGTACTGACTTTTGTGAGATACTGTACATGGTCTGCAACAATGTCACAGCAACATCTACATGAATGACAGGAAGATTTCCCAGCAGAATATTGCCCAAAGCATCACACTGCCTCATCCAGCTTGCCTTCTTCCCATAGTGCATCCTGGTGCTATGTGTTCCCCAGGTAAGTGACGCACACGCACCCGGCTATCTACGTGATGTAAAAGAAAATACCCCACAGGCAACAACTGACACCTTCCATCAGAGGCTGCATGAACGTTTTCAGCAATTGACCTACAGTAGCTTGGAGCGGACCACACCTAGCCTAGCCTTCCCTCCCTACGTGCTTCAGTGAGCCTTGGCCGCCCACCACAGGGTTGTGGGCGGCCAGTGGTGGTTTACCACTCTTCCTTCCTTGGACCACGTTTGATAGATACTGACCACCGCAGACCAGGAACAACCCGCAAGATCTGCAGTTTTGGAGATGCTCTCACCCAGTCATCTAGAGGTGGTGTTATGCTTTTTGGCTTTTTCCCTCTCTTTTATTAGTTTAAATCTTTTTTTGCGCATGTAATAGATGTGCAAAGTAATAAAGCCCAAAGTCCACCCCAAAGGGAGTTCCCACCTCCCACAGAAAACACTACTCTGAACTGCCTGAAAACAGCTCGTTTGTAGTCCAGCCACTTCTCTTTCATCCCAGTGACGACACAGCGATGAAAGCGCAATGAGCCAAGTGGCTAGTCAGACACGCCCTCAAAAACATAGTTGGAAAAACACTGAGCTGCAGCACACACCTATCCTCTCCCTTCCAAACACTTGCTACCCTCCAGGCAGTCAATGGACACAAAGTTGTTACTGTGATGTAGAGACGGAGCTCAGTTAAAACTTTATGGATGAAAAATACTTTTGTTACAGGTTAATAACTTACCACTCTGAAGCTGTTGCTCCAGTCCATGTTGCTAAGCTGGTAAGGGGATATACAGCTTAACCATAGCCGTGTTTACCGGCTTCTTACTGACCTGCCCTGCTCTGCTTCTGATTGGCTAGTAGTCCTTAACTAGGAACTGCACATTTGCAACTCCCAACAAAGATATCATCCATCGATCCATAGTTAAAACGAAGCATTCAACACACAGGGTGAAAAGAGGAGCTGCAGCAATGTGCAGTATGACAAAAATATGGTGTTTTTTAAAAATGAAACCATGTAAACCTGTCGTGGTACAACCCCTAAATAAGATTTTGAAGATGAAAATGAGCATAATACCACCTCTAACATTTTGATCCTTGTCAAATTCACTAAAATCCTTATGCTTGCCCATTTGACACCATCTTTGAGGACAAAATGTTCACTTGCTTCCTAATATATCCAACCCACTGACAGGTGCCATTGTAACGAGATAATCAGTGTTATTTACTTCACCTGTGAGTGGTCATAATATTAAGGCTGATTGGTGTATCTTAATGCATAAGAAATACATTGAATATGAAGCATTGCCTGTGATAATTTCTTTCTCATCAAACATATTATCTCATTCTTATAAGGATTTATACTAGCTCTATGTCAAGCAGACTGCATGTGTGACACAATATCTTGAATTGTCTGAGAAATTTACACAACAGATTTTACACCTAAAGGAGAATAAAAAGTGAAAATTTGCAATTGTAAGCTGTTTGTTATCTCTTTGGACCACAGTCAGTGCAAGCAGATTAGATTTGCCAAGCATGATAGGATTTAGCTCAGTTCCTCTTTCCGTTGATGAAAAATAAATAACTGCATAAGACTGCATAAGAACCTGTTTACAAAGGATTTTCAAGCATTTTAATTATACAGATTGCCCACCTCCTGTGTGATTGGACTGAAAGAGATCTGTACTCAAATCTGGATCATGACCACAAAAGCTCACAATACAAGCCAAGGTGAAACATAACAAAATTCACAGTAGAATTTACATACACAGTGATTTTTTGAATGTAAAATCATAATTCTGCTGTACCTGTTGTGGTCATATTGAAACCATGATGTTCCTCCTGCAGGCCAGTTCTCCAGGTTTGGAGGGATTTCACAACCTGATGGCAATGGCTTGGCACTTGGCCCATGTCACATGGTGGTGTAACTCACACACATGCCTGACAGTACTCTTCAGAGAAACCACATTCCAGGGTAAGTGGTCCAAGGGTCAAACAATATGTGATCAAGAGCGCAGGTGCTTTGTTATGTGAAATCCCAAGGTGAACTTATGCATTCTAGTGTATACATAAGTTCATGCACATGTATATATGATTCAGAGTCAAGAGAAAGAGACAAAGAGCAGATTTTAACTGAAATATAATGTTATCTTGTATTTGCCAGCGTCTGTTCCCTTTCTCAGTAGATTTAGAAAAATTAAGATATTTAGTTAATATTTATTAAGATGTTTAACAATCATAAACTCCGCCAGTCTACTGATTGACAGTGCTAGCAAAATGAGAAAAAAACCCAAAACTGTCATCACTATTAGATTCAAACTGTAATTGGTTGTCTGTGACAACACCTTGTTTTTTTTACTAAACCCTGCCCACTTCAAACCAGTGACAGCAAGGACACAAACATGAATCCAGACATCTCTCATGTGATTTATGTGAATTTAACACATAATTTTGTGTTATGACCTTATCATTCAGAATAAAAACAGTTATTTTCTTCAAACAGGCAGTTGTGACTGTTATGAAGTTTATACTTAATTGTTTATATATCCAAACTGTAGTTTCATGTCAAGGGAGAGTCAAATGAGTAGTGTGTGTAGTGAAATGTATCCCTAAACAGTATTATACAATGATATATTCTGTTCACACAGTACCATTTGTTCTACATCAGAAATACAGGATTTTCCAAATAATGTCTATTGTATTGCAGCATTGCAATATTAAGGCCATGTAAATTAGTTATGAGTGTTACATCTATAATGTGCCATAAAGTGTCACATTTTTTATAAAACTTCTAAATAAAGTCAGATAGTATTATATTTATATACAGTTGCAGGAAAAAGTATGTGAATGCTTTGGAATTACCTTGATTTCTGCATAAATTGGTCATGCAATCTGATATTCATTTAAGTCGCAATAATCGCCAAACACACTGTTAAACTAATAGCACACAAACAATTATATGTCTTTTTGTTTTTATTGAACACACCGTTTAAACATTCACAGTGCAGGGTGGAAAAAGTGAACCCCTAGGCTAATGACTTCTCCAAAAGCTAATTGGAGTCAGAAGTCAGGCAAGCTGGAGTCCACTCAATGAGATGAGATTGGAGGTGTTGGTTAGAGCTGCCTGCCTTATAAAAAACATTCACCAATTTTGCTTATCTCATGAAGCATTGCCTAATGTGAACCATACCTCGAACAAAAGAACTCTCAGTAGACCTAAGGTTAAGAATTGTTGACTTGCATGAAGCTGAAATGGGTTACAAAAGTATCTCTAAAAGCCTTGATGCTCATCAGTCCATGGTAAGGCTGCTTAAAGTTGTCTATAAATGGAGAAAATGGAGACAAGTTAAAACTTCGCATTAACAAATCAAAGACTAACCACCAGGGATGATTTTAGACCATATTTAGGGGTACTGAAGCACCCCTAAATTTCATCTAAGCACCCGTAAAAAAATACAGTAATTTATTATTATTTTCTGAAAATTATTTTTTGTCCTCGTTACATTTTGGAAAAGCAGTAGAAGAGACAACCAATTAGGCCACAGTTTCATGTTAAATGGATTTAATGTCCCTAAGTACTGACATTTTTCAGTTTCTAATATTTTACTGAATGATCTGCAACCGCACTGGGGGACTGGTCAAGCAGCAGAACACTGCTTGGATGTCTGTCAGTCTGGGCCAAACTAATACTTTCACTATTGAGGGGGGTACGAGCGGCCCCTTTCAACATGGACTGATCCTCGTTTTTGCTGAATTCTGATTGGCTCAACGGTGCAGATCAGAGGAGTTTACTTTCCTTCTGGGGCAAGTTTAATCCGAAACCTTTTGCACCGTTTGCTACGTTTTGTTGCGGCTGAAGTCAGCCCAGGGTTGTGTGACAAGTGCAACAGAGATGGTAAATATGGTGAAAAGAAAGAAAAAAGAAAAATGACAGTTTGCAATGTGTTATCACTCCGAGACAACATCCTGCTATAAGCGAGGAAACTTTATGTATATTAGCTGTTAAGGTCAGTGGAGTGATGCAGAGGGACAGCGTGATGATGACCCTAGTCATGTTGATGAGGAGGGAGAGAAGAAAGAGGTGGAGCCGCAGGAGGAGGAGGAGAAGGTCAATGGAAACAGAAAAAACTGTGAAAGGTATAGGGGCAGTAGGCAGGGCTGAGTAGGCAATCATTAGTAGAGATAGAATTAGAAAATGTATTACTGTTAGTCATATTTATTACTTATGTTCTTCTCATGCATATGTAGCTGTACAATTAGCAGAGGCCAGCACAGGGGAAGCTGAGCCAGGAAGAGGCCTACTCAGAGCTGAAGATAAGCGATTTGATTTTTATGCAAACACACACACAAGCTGCTCTATTTTATGGGACTAGTTTTTGATTATATTTAACTATTTTAGCACTCTTAAGTAAATTATGCTGGGTGTATTTGAAATGTTTGCCACGTTCCCCTCCGGTAAAGCCAGTTGCAATATGTAACGTTAGAACATTAGCTGTAACAGAGACGGGAAGTCTACAACACCTGCCAATAAAACAAGCAGAACAGCAGCGCAAGGGGACCAGTTGCCAGGATGGATTAAGCAGGGCTCTACAGAGTATTTCACTCGCATATTCCAAAAAATAAATACATGGGAAGTGGTAAAATAATTTACGAGCACAGTGTGCGGCGTACCGTAATTTTTCTGCATGAATGGTTATGATTATTGACAAGTATTTACTTAGAATTAATAAATTAGAGACCAAGGTGGACTGTTTTTCTTGCTCATGGATTTTATAAATGGGAACATTCCACAAAAATCAAACTGCTGTAACACTGGGCAGTGTTGGGAAGGTTACTTTGGAAATGTAATAGGTTACCGATCACACCTCAGGGAGCCCAACCACTTCAGACCAGTAGCCCTAACCTTGCACCTGATGAAGACCATGTAGAGAATTATACTTAAAAACCTGAGACATCTGGTGAACTCGGAGCTGGACCCCCTTCAGTTTGCTTATCAGCCGGGCATTGGGGTGGATGATGCTGTCATCATCCACCCCAATGAGGGTCATGTTCTTTGACCTCTCCCGTGCTGAACACAATTCAACCGTCGCTACTCAGGCGGGAAGCTACTCAGAACTGGAGTTGACTCTCACCTAGCTGCGTGGACCATCAACTACCTCACAGACAGACAGTATGTGAGGCTCCAAGGCTGCGTGTCTGATGTGGTTGTCTGCAGCACAGGAGCACCACAGGGGACAGTTCTTGCTCCCTTCCTCTTCACCCTTTACACATCGGACTTCAGATACAACACAAGCAGCTGTCACCTGCAGAAGTTCTCTGATGATGCTGCCATTGTTGGGCGGGTATCGGAGGAGAACGATCAGGAATACCGGGACGTCCTCGCTGACTTTGTTGACTGGTGTGAGTTAAACCGCCTCCACATCAACGCCAGCAAAACAAGGGAGATGGTGGTTGACTTCCGCAGGAAGCGCCCTCAGATTACACCAGTGAACATCCAGGGTGTGGACATTGACACGGTGGAGTCATACAAACACCTGGGTGTTCACATCAACAATAAACTGTACTGGTCCATCAACACAGATGTAGATGTCCTGTATAAAAAGGGACAAAGCTGCCTCCATCTGCTGAGGAGGCTGAGTGCAGGACACTGTTAAAGATGTTCTACGACACTGTGGTGGCATCTGTGATCTTCTACGCAGTCGTCTACTGGGGAGCCAGCAGCACAGAGAGGGACAGAAAAAGACTGAATAAACTGGTTAAGAGGGCTAGCTCTATTCTGGACTGTCCTCTGACACCACAGAACAGGTGGGTGGGATGCTAGTCAAGCTGAAGTCCATCAGGGACAACAGCTCCCACCCTCTGTATGAGACAGTGGTGTCTTTAAGCAGCTCCTTCAGCAGCAGACTGCTGCACCCAAAGTGCAAGAAGGAGCACTACCGCAGGTCCTTCATTCCTACTGCAGTCAGACTTTTTAATTCGGAAGCAACATAATGTGACCTACTGTGCGCTGCTGTTTAGTATTGTATGCTTGCCTGCTATACACTCCAATGCTCATTACCATTACTGCACTTTATCTAGCACAATCTGTGCAATGTTTAACCCTGGTCCTAACTGTAGATACCTGAATCTGTAAATAGTGTACATATTCATTCCAATATTAATTCCTTTATAGTAATTTTATGTCTATTTTTTACTGTTTGCTTCTGTTTTGGTTTGTTTTTTGTACTGGAGTTGATGCAACAAGTGAATTTCCCCATTGTGGGATTAATAAAGTCTATTCAATTACAAGTTACCCTAAATTTAACAGTAGCCTAGGTTAACTATTTCAATTACTCTATCAAAGTAATTTAACTTATCACAGGGGTTTTCAAAGTGTGAGGCGGGCCTCCCCAGGGGGGCTCCAAACAGTTTCAGGGGAGGCTCAGTGAATGGAAATGAAACAATATTACATTACTTGTTGCATTAGTTATCAAAAGGAGATCACATAGACTAGCCTACATGTGTGAAAGTTCAGAGATACAATAGTTTTGGGGAACAGTTTTCCCCCCATCAGAATCAGAAACTAATAAATGGCTTAGGACCTACCTTTTTTAAAACTCTTTGGTGTAGTCAGAATTTACATGAAAAAGCCATATTAGGCTATTTTGGCTCAAATGTTGAGTGTTTATGGGATCAGATAATATAATCATGATCTCATAGACATCAAGGAATTGAGCGAAATTTACCAAGTAAATTACAGATTTCATTACTTTTGTAAATTTCTAATGAATGTTTTTTCAACTGTTAACCATTTTCAAAAGATAGTCAGGGGCAGTTTAACTGGCAGATGGTGGCACTGCAAATTCAGACATGAGAACCAATCAAAATCATCAGAACAGCATCAAACGTTACTAAACAGCTGTGGCTGGAACTGGCAAAGAAAGACTTTGTGCACATGAAAAACATGCAAAAAAAA